CATTGTAGGCTGTGTCTTAACCTGCTGTGCCAAAACCTTGAACCTCTATTACTTCCTAGCTAAATAATTTCAGGCATGAGCATCTCCTTGAGCCTCATTTTCTTAATCTGTAAGTTGGACTTAAATCTTTTAGTTTGTGTGAGTTAGAGAACGAAATGCTACCATCAGAAGAGCTGAGCTGTGTGCAATGGCATCACCCAGTAGGCGGTGCTGTTGTTACTGATGGGTGGAAAGGGACCTGACTCGCCATGGCAAGTGAGTACCACGGAGCCATTTGGAAAGTGAGAGGTGAGGCCAGTGCTTTTCCTTGACGTAACTGGCTGCATGCCCTGAAGCTCCTTGGTGCCGTGTGGCCAGCCCAGGTGAATGCCAGGCATTCATCTCTTGGGCAGATTCTGCAATGTCTCACTTACTTGCCTGGGCCATGTAGATCAAAGGCCTACTATGTGCTGGGTGCTTTGCTAAGAGCTAGGACCCACAGAAGGGTAACAGTTATCTCTGCATGGGCACCTCTCACTGGCGCCAGCTCTCCCACCATGGGATTTCTGGCCACAGAGCTTGGTGTGGAGCAGTGTGGTTTCTCTTGCATAGACTTTCTCTACCCTTGGCACTCCCAGTGCAGGCTTGGATCTCCATGATGTTGAACACAAGACAAGACAGAGCACAGCACATCTGCTTTCCCTCATCCCCAAAACAACCGCCAAGAATCACCCTCACTCCCTTCTCTCCCCAGCGGTCTGCTTTCTCCTCTTCTTGATCCCTTGCTCAGGACCTTGGTAAGAATGTGACATTAGCACCGCCCGTTCTTCCGAAGGTGCCTTCCTCAAGGTTACCAGGACCGTCTCATTACCAAATCCATTAGCCTTGTCTGGAACGGTGCCTTTGAAGCAGCCCTGTCCAATGGAACTTCCTGTGGGGCTGGCTGCATTCTCTTCTGTGCTGCCCAGCACAGTTGTCAGTAGCTACGAGTGTGTGCTGAGCACTTGAAGTGTGGCATGTGCACCTGAGGCACCTAGTCTTTAATTTTAGTTCATTTGAACGTCAGTCGTCACCCATGTGGCCCGTGGCTACTGTGCGAGATGGTGTGGCTTAGAGCATCCAGGATGGTTTTCCTCTACCTCTTTCTGGAAACCCTCTGCCTTTATCTCTGGTGGCACAGCATTCTTCTGGTTCTCTGTTAGCTCCTCTCTGTCTCCTCCTACTCCTCCTGCCCGCTAAAAATAGCCTCCTTGAGGTATCTATGCCCAGCTTCTCTCCCTTCTCTTCTGCACTGTCCCATCCAGTGCAGGCAGCCCCCCAGGCAGTAACAATGAGCTGTGTGGAGTGCTCTCTCTTGCCCTCTCTCCTCTTTCTGGCTTCAGGTCGCTGCTCCAGCCCCAGCCTGGCACTCACTTGGGCATTCTGGGGTCACCTCGGGAGTAGTGTGAGCCTCACTGAAGTCATCAACTCCATGCCCACCTGACTCCTCCTCTTCCTCCCGGCTTTGCAGGCTCTCCTAGTGACCGTCGTGACTTCCTTTTCTCCTTGGCATCGCCCGGCCTGAGCCTCCCTCTCTGTTGTTCCTCACTCCCTCACTGCTGCAGAGTCTTGAGATTCTTCTTGCACAGAGTCTGCTTTCATTCTTAAAGGCTCCACCTCTTTTTATGATTATAGAAGTAGTATTTATTATTGAACATTTTCTATATTCAGGAAAATGCCAAAAAAGAAAAATAAAGAAAAGAAAACTTGCTCCTAATTTTAACCATGCAGAGAACCGTTTTAGACGTGTGTGACTTCCCCTGTATAACCTCTCATAACCTCTTGCCTGGATGACCGTGGCTGTGAATGCTCAGTGTCTCCCCACTCTAATCCGCTGCTATTTCCCAAGGCATAATTCTCTTCATGTCACTCTTCTGTTCCGCTTATAAATCTCCAGAGGCACCCAGTTGTCTATGGAATTAAATTTGTCCCCACTGATGGAACATCATGCCAAGCCGACCTCTGCTTTCCTAGTGCTTACCAGCCTTGATTTGGGAGATGTTACCAGCACATCACAATCAGAAATGCCCACAAAAGCTGGAAGTTGCACTATTGCTATTTAGCTTGGCTTAAATTGATTAAGCACTGTTGTTTCCTACTTTTTTAAAATAAAAAACAAAAGCCCGACACGATTTCCTTTAGACTGTGGCATACAGATTTATTGAAGTGGATTTTTCTTCTTGTAGTAGCAGAGATGGGTGCTGTTTGCAGTTCTTGATGTACTTTCTAGTCACATGATGTAAAACTGGAGGGGGTTAAGTATTGCTCTTCCTTGCCTTGGAGAGAACACTTCCCCAGTGTTGAAACTCTGGATCTCTCTGCCTGCAGAACGTTACCTCTGCTGAGTCTTGATGGCTCGAGTCAGTTGTGAGTGAATCAGTGAGTACTGATTGCGTGCCTATATGAAATGGGTTTCTGAATGGGATGAAAATGTTCTGGGCATTCTTAGAATCTGGGGTCTTCTTGGCCGATGGATTCGTCCCCTGGACAAATGTGCCATTGTCTGTGTCTTGGGGACGGGGCACCCAGTCCCATCTGCCTCGCCTGTTGGCAGTGAGGCCCCAGGCATGGGCTTCTTGCGTGCAGGTGTGGCTCTGCCCATGCTCTGGCCTCCATGGGGTTTGGGAGGCTTCACGGGAGAGGAGGAGGACTTTGTCAGGTTTTGTTTGGTGGCTTGAAATTTAATCTTGTGCTTATTGAGCCTGGACCTAGTCCTTAATGAATTCTGTCCTCAGCCCTGTCTTATTTATCTTTTCACAGCTCCCTGGCACATAGTAAGCAATTAATAAAGGGCTGCTATTATTGGGGTTATGAGGATACAGCTGCCTCCACACACCCGTTGTTTGTCTCTGCCTTTTCTTGCACACCAGACTGCGGCTCCCAGCTGCCTGCTGGACGTCATACACCTTGCACCTTTGCCCGTGCTGTTGGCTCTGCCAAGCGTGCCTTCCCACCTCCTCTGCTCCTGTTAGAAGCCTCTTCACAATCAGGGCGGGGGTAATGCCTCCTCCTCACATGAAACCTATCCCTCCTCCTCGCTATTCTTCATCGTTTCCTTGAAATCCCCCGGCCTGTTCCCCACAGCAGGCTGTAGGGCCTCCCTGTCATGATCGTAGGCACTGGAGACTGACTGGGACATTGAGAAGGCCCACCCTCTCACAGTCTTGCCTGTAGTCCATAGTTCATACCTGTGTGTCCGAGTCAAGCCTTGGTAAGTTCTTTTTTTATTTTTTTTAACTTTTATTTAATGAATATAAATTTCCAAAGTATAGCTTATGGATTACAATGGCTTCCCCCCCATAACTTCCCTCCCACCCGCAACCCTCCTCTTTCCCGTTCCCTCTCCCCTTCCATTCACATCAAGATTCATTTTTAATTCTCTTTATATACAGAAGATCAGTTTAGTATATATTAAGTAAAGATTTCAACAGTTTGCACCCACATAGAAACATAAAGTGAAAAATACTGTTTGAGTACTAGTTATAACATTAAATCACACTGTACAGCACATTAAGGACAGAGATCCTACATGAGGAGTAAGTGCACAGTGAATCCTGTTGTTGACTTTACAAATTGACACTCTTGTTTATGGCATCAGTAATCTCCCTATGCTCCAGTCATGAGTTTCCAAGGCTATGGAAGCCTTTTGAGTTCGCCGACTCTGATCATATTTAGACAAGGTCATAGCCAAAGTGGAAGTTTTCTCCTCCCTTCAGAGAAAGGTACCTGCTTCTTTGATGGCCTGTTCTTTCCACTGGGATCTCACTCACGGAAATCTTTCATTTAGGTCATTTTTTTTTTTGGACAGGGTGTCTTAAGCCTTGGTAAGTTCTAAAGCCACCAGGTTTTTACCGAACTTCTAGAAGTGACGAGAGAGTGCCACAGACTTGGCTGCATGCCTCAGAGACATCTTCGCTGCTTAACTGCTGGGCCCGAGGCATCTTCCATGGGCTGGGAGCTTGGGTGAGCAAACGGCCTTGGTGCTGGGCTCCCGCAGATTGAATTTTTTGTTGTATTTTTCAGAGATCTACAGGAATCTTAATAACAATTCCCAGAAAAAACAGCTGATTGTGAGATGTTGGAGGTTCACCTTGTCTTTTGGGCTCTGTAACCACGTTATTTTTTTCCCAAGATGAAATAATAAAGAGAAGAGTAATGATTCTTAGCCGTGTAACTTGGCTTTGCTTTTGTGAAGGGGAGCAGAGGTTACCCACCTTCTAAATGTCTCAGCTTCCCTACCTGTTAAAAAGACAGGACAGCAGTATCACATCATGAGGTCTTGTGAAAATTAAATACACATGAACTATTCCATAAAAGAGCTGTTGTTATTATATTATGAATGCACTCGATACGTGTTAACAGTTATTAATATTGATGCACTGATGAATATTACCCTGTAAAATTTTTTATGAGCTTGCCAGTACTTGAGATACTAGTCCTTAAGTTCACCTAAGCTACTTTTCACCCCAAAGAGGTGCAAACACTATGAACGATCTCAAACCTGTTCTTTACACAGTGCCAACTTCAGGATACTTACACATATCCATTGTGCCGCATAGCTGTACCCCGACATGGTACACCCACAGAACATGAGGTTTATAATGCCCCACTAATAACTCGCTTCCCTCTCAAGTTGGTGCAGGTATTAAAGAACGGTGTGAATGGAAAAGGACAACAAACTTGCTTCTTACCCCCGCAGTGCTGCAATTCTGGGGGGCTGAATGTCGTTGCGAGGCTATTTTAAGGCAATCACATCAACAGAGCTTTTCTTTCTCTCTCACATTTCAAAGGAACATGTGTCAAAGGGCCTTCTCCTTTAACGATCTGACATTGTCACTTTATACTGAAGTGCACAACTATGACAATACCCCTTGCCCTGGCTGCCAAAAGTGACACGCATGGACACAGCGCAGTTGGGAGGGGAAAATGCCTTCTTTCTGGTGACCGGCTTGGAATGATAAACATTTTCATTGCTCCTGCAGGAGATGGCTCGTGGAAGAGAGGAGACGATTATGACTCTGAAGCCAAGCAGGCGTACTCGTGCCTCCAGACGGTCACTCTACTGAGGACGGTGAAACCTGAGTTCGAGAAGTTCTCCCTGGAGGTGAAAAGTTCTGTCGAGAAGCAAGGACTCAATGAGGAAGATTACGTAAGTGCTTGATTATGCACCTCGCCTTTCAGCACCCTGAAACCATCTCATAATTAAAGCCGAGGTGGCAATGTCCCATGCTGAACCATTCAAAAATCCCCAGGTTCAGGTCGCAATGTCACTGTAGCCTCCTCTGTGTGCCTTTTTTTTTTTTTTTTTTAAAGATTTACTTATTGATTTGAAAGTCAGAGTTACACACACAGAGAGAAGAAGAGGCAGAGAGAGAGAGAGAGAGAGAGAGAGAGAGAGAGGTCTTCATCTGCTGGTTCATTCCCCAATTGACCACAATGACCAGAGCTGTGCAGATCTGAAGCCAGGAGCCAAGAGCTTCCTCCGGGTCTCCCACGTTGGTGCAGGGGCCCAAAGACTTGGGTCATCTTCCACTGCTTTCCCAGGCCATAACAGAGAGCTGGATGGGCAGTGGGGCAGCCAGGACTTGAACTGGCGCCCATATGGGATGCTGGCACTGCAGGCAGCGGCTTTTCCCACTACGCCACGGTGCTGGCCCATCTGTGCGCTTTTTTCTGGTCAGTTTTTCCCCTCTCCCTTGCCATCCCCTAGCTATCCCCACCCTTCAGTTTCACTTTTTCGGCTGCTGCAGGTACTGCTGAGCAGAATTTCTGTAGGCTTTCATCACCTTGTCGGCTAGGAGGGTGTTGGGGGAGAAAGGTGGTTGAAAGAGTACCCCAAGTTTTATGTGCCTCATTTTTCCCAAGCTTGGTGGCAGAGTCTGTTTAGAAGGCTGTTTCTTGTGCCAATCCCTTAGCTTTATGGCCAGTCTGCTTTTCTGTCTTGCACGCTGTGTCATTGTCCCTGTCTGCTGCAAGTTGCTTCCTGCTCAGGTTTTCCAGGGCCCCCCACTCCATCTGCACTGAGGTGACTGATTGATTTTCTGAGCATAGACTGGAGTCAGAAGCCTGGTCTAGGCTAAAGATTAAGCAGAGGAATCATCTAAGACTGGCACTGCAGACAGATGGCCATCTCTTAGTGCCATTGTTCCTGCTGCTTGTGGCACACGTGTGTCCTCTGTGCCTCCATGTCACTCCTGAAAATCCTTTCTCAGACCAGAATGAGCCCTCAGCCCTTTGGGTCAACTGTGTGGGGGTGCTGGTTTTCAAAAACAGTTCCAAGTTTCCCAAAACAGAAAAGGGCACCTCCTTAATGTAAGATGAGTGGGTTAAACAGTGCCTGCCCCAGCAGGATAAAGACCAAGTTCGTAAGATACGGTCATTTCTAGATGGGCCCTCTCCCCATGTCTTAAGTACCGTGGAGTATTGGTATTGACCTTGGACAACCTCACATTCAGAGCTCTGTGGTCTTGGACAAATGACTCAGTCTCCCTGATCCAAATTGCTTCTCTCTGTTGGAAGGACTGCGGACAATTTTATCTAAAGCATTAAGCTCTGACCATGTCAGAAAGTTGAAACTCAGTAAATGGTACCTCTTTTGTATTGTTACAAGATTGTTCCTGTCATAGGAATTTGCTGTCAAATGACATGAAAAATGTCTTAGATAAATACTTATTCATGTTTTAAGTATCATGTGTATGAGGAGGCTTCAAAAGGTTTGTGGAAAAATGGAATTAAAAGATAAGTTTATTTTGGTGCAAAAGAAAATTCATGCATACTTTTTTCCTGTGGCCTTTTTGAAGATGCCATCTATCTATATCTATATCTATATCTATATCTATATCTATATCTATACCTATCTATATCCATCTATATGGCTTAGCTGTTAAGATGCCATATCTTAAATCAGAGTGGCTGGGTTCAATCCCCAGCCCTCGCCCCTAGCTCCAGCTTTCTGGCAACACAGACCCTGGGAAAGAGCGGTAGCAGCTCCAGTGATTGGGATCCTGCTACCTACCCTTATGGAAGACGGGGATTGTGTTTCCAGCTCCTGGCTCTGGCCTGGGCCCAGTGCTGAATGGGAACTTTCTGTCTGTCCCTCTGTCTCTCAAACAAATAAATAAAATTAAAAACAATTATATGTACATCACTCTAAATACCTTCTGACCCAATGCTGTCCAATAAGTATAAAAATGTGAGCCACACATATGATTTAAGAATTTCCAGTAGACTGATTTTAAAAAGTGAAAAAGACAAGTGAAATTAATTCAAATACTTTATTTAAAATAAAAAATTCAAACATCATTTTAATATGTAATGAAAGTAAAAATTGTTAGTGAGATGTTATATTCTTTTTCTTGCATGATGTCTCTGAGATCCAGTGTATGTTTTACACTTTTATAGTGCGCTAAGCTCTTGTGCACACGCATGGCAACCATGTGACTGGTGGTTCACATACTGGACAGTGTATTCTGAAAGACAGAGGAAGAAGGATTTCTGCCACAGGGCCCAGGTTTAAGGAAAGCTGTGTTGGCATTGCCGCCATGCGAATCCTTTGCCTCAGAAAGAGGAGTGAACACGGAAGTCAAGCTTCCCTTGGCAGTGCTGCTGAAGTGGCCTGTGCCAATAGTGCAGAATCCAAAATCTTCTACGTATGCCAAATGCCACTGTATATTAGCTTACTTTTTTAGGCTCACGTTAATTTTATGGCTTCAAAACTCAACAATGGTGTCATTTTGTCTGGCTTCCTCCTTGAGGTTGTTGAAGTTCAACTATTCCAGTGTAAGTTGTCTAAATAATAGTACTCACTGGGCAAATGTTGGCATCCTTACACACCTGTGGATAATTCTTGTTGGTCATCAGTTATTCTGTGTTTAGAATATGAAATATTGTTATTATTATTTTTTAAAGATTTATTTGTTTATTTGAAAGTCTGAGTTACATAGAGAGAGCAAGAGGGGCAGAGAGAGAGAGAGGTGTTCCATTTTCTGGTTCACTCCCCAAATGGCCTCAATGGCTAGAGCTGGGCCTATCTGAGGCCAGAAGCCAGGAGCTTCTTCCAGGTCTCCCATGCAGGTGCAGGGGCCCAAGGACTTGGGCCATCTTCCACTGCTTTCCCAGGACATAGCAGAGAGCGGGATAGGAAGTGGAGCAGCTGGACTCAAATTGGTGCCCATATGGGATGCCAGCACTGCAGAAGACAGTTTTACCCACTACACTACAGCACCAGCCCCTAGAATATGAAATACTATTTTAATAGTAGTCTAAGAAAAATCTTACTGGGACAGCTATGACAAAGATCCGGAGTATATTTGAAACCAAATATCAACACTTTAGAGATTGTTTGCAGTCATGTAGATTATTTGCAATACTGCTGCTTTCTTATGGTAACATTATTTAAACTGACTTTATAAATACATAGGAATAAGTAAAAGATGTAACTTTAAGTGGAAATTAGAACTCATTTTAATAACTTGTTCTATTTCTGAAAGTGTGTCCATTTTTTATATTTATGGATATTTTACTTATTTATTTTAAGCTTTTTATTTATTTGAGAGAGACAGAGAGAGAAGGAACGAGCGAGAGAGAGAGAGCATGAGCACTATCATCTGTTGGTTCACTCTCCAAATGCCTGCAACAACCAGGGCTGGGCCAAGCCAAAGCCAGGATCTGGGAACACAATCGAGGTCTCCCACGTGAGCGGCAGAAACCCAGTTCCTTGAGCCATCATTGCTGCTTCCTAGGGTCATCATTAGCAGGAAGCTGGAGTCAGGAGACAAAGGTGGGATAGGGAACTCAGGAATTCAAATATGGACATGGGTGTGTGTCTTCACTGGCATCTTTGCCACTAGGCCAAATGCCTATCACTGTGTGTTTTAGTTGGGCTCTTTTGAGTGCCACTGTGATGTTTATTGAGTTAACTTGGACAGGAGGTCACAATGAGTACTGTGCAAGAGAAAGCCATGGGAGCCAAAGAGCCAGGAGCTGGTGTGGCTCAGCCTTGTGGACACTTGGCCTGGATCTCATGCAGTGGGAGGTGCTTCACAAGCCCTGTGGGCTTCCCCTGGGATGCAGGCTTTTCTGGGGTCCTGTGCTTCTCATTTCCTAAAGGGTTGTCTCATTTGCCTACTCAGAACTTCAGTGCATTATGCCGCCAGCGCATCTGCAACCCCTGACATCCAACTCACGTCCAGCAGATTTTGGTGGGTTCTCTTCTTAGTCCTAAAGTTTACCATGCTTTCTCTAAACAATCACATGATCAGTGAATAGTGATAGCTTTGCTTCTTTAATTTTAATTCTATTTTTAAGTATGCCCAATTAAAAGTATACTTCAGTTTAATTACATGTAATTATTAATTCAGTGTAAGTATGCAATTAAGCACAGTTATTCCTTATATGTGGAGGGGGATTTGACCTAGGACTCCCTGAGGATGCTGAAATCCAAGGGTGCTTAAGGCCTTTGTAAATAATGGTGTAGTATTTGCAATGCCATGAGCACATCATCTTTCATACTTCAAATCACCCCCAGATTGCTCATATTTAAAACAATGTCAGTGCTATGTAAATAATTTTAATGCTGTATTGTCTAGGGAATAATGTCAAGAAGAAAAAGTCTGTATGTGTTCAGTACAGACACAATTTTTTTCCCCTGGATATTATATTCTATTGGAAGTTGGTTGGATCTGTGGATATGGAGCCCATGGGTATGGAAGGCCAGCTGTATGTTGAATTAAAATTAAGTGTCATGAACTAAATTAAAACTGTTAATAGCACTGAGCGGATCCTAACACAATATTGAACATAAGCGATGAAAAGTAGTATCTTCACTTTAAAATGAAGATCGTATAACAGATTTCATATCTGTTCATATTATGACTTAAGCAGAATGTTTGCTATGGGGTTTTGGTGGAGTCCTTACCAAAGTACAGAAATTTATTCTTTGTTGAAACTTTTCCCCCCTTTTGCAAAATGACACCTTTTGCTGGGATAACTGAAACAAAAATAGCACAACAAGGATCAAGGATCATATAAAGTAGGTTAAGGAAAGGCTTTGAACATAGCTTTCTATTTTAGGCATTATAAATTATGTGATGTCCCTGCTTCTGTTTCATATATGTTAGTATCACATTCATCATATTGGCATACTATCAG